AGTTTTGATATGTGGCAAGGGAAGACCTAGACCACACCCCCCAAATGGCATAATGAAACTATACTCAGAATGCACAAATGTCTACTTAATGCTTATAATATTTGATACTTTATTTGGTGAAAAGAAACAGTGTCATTGTGTTCCAGTATAACTTGGGAAAACTTTTGTGTCAGTGGGTTATTTTGTTTATTGTTTAGCGTTTTAATAATAATGCCATATTTCCACTTCTATAGTATATTAATTTATGAAGGTCTAATCTAAAAGGCAAGACTACAGTGCTTGCTTTCTCTCCATCCCTCCCCCATTTATTTGGATTCTTATTGAGGGAGGATTTGTGGTGTCAAGAAAATTCCTTAATTAGCCTTCCTGGATACAAGCTTCCCATTTACTCCAATGAAAGGCGCTTTGCATAAAAAGTGTTAGCTTTTGTCCATCAAAGCCGTGAACAGCTTCTCTTTGACTAGCCAGAGAAGGAAAGACCATCCTGAATACCACCATTTTAAAGAATGAATGAGTATAATTTCTTACAGCTTTCATGAAATTGCTGAAAGCCGAGGGATTACTTCTTTAACCCAACTCATACTCTAAGTATTTTCCATAACTTGGCACACCACTCAAGATGAGGTCCACAGCACAGCAAGAAGCCTACTCTGACATAATGGTTTCTCCATGTTTCAGCACAGGGTCTTGTTATTAATAATCCATCATGAGATGATTTGTAATGCACAGGAGTGGCATTTGGTTATGTGAAAGGGCATAGCAGAAGGAAGCATATAGGCTCTTGCGGGCCAGCTGCTAGTAAACATGGTTAAATGTTATATGGTGAAAACAAACAAACAAACAAACAAGCCAAAAACAACCACTTAGGATCGGTTTTGAACTGACAAAGAAAAAGTGTATGATATCATCTCTAGAGAAATTTTTATTCCTCTTCCTTTTTCCTGATTTTTCTTCCCCCAATCAGATTTTGGAGGAACAAACAGGTTAAGGGACTAAATTTGATTGCCAACCACCCAAACACAGTTCAGAATGTATTTGATTCAGGAAGTTCTGGATCTTTTAAAGCAAAGATGTTAACAACCCCCCTGAGAACCTTAAACTATGATGATTTAAACATAAGGAAACAGAGACCTTGAGATGATCAGAGAAGTCACCCAGAGGCCTCCCTGCTGAAGAATTTTTATTTTTATTTTCATTTTAAGACCACAAGGAGGATGTTGGATCCATCATCTATGGGAAGTCCTATCATTTGAGTCAAAATTTATGAGGCAATAGGGAAAGTTGTAATTCTAGGGCTAGTTAAAACAAAAACAAGATCATTAGACTTTTTAGATATATCCTTTATATACACTTTATGTGACAAATGTATTCCATTTTAGATAGATTATAATGAGTGCATTTATTGACTATAAACATAATGCAGGCCTGGGTATAAGTTGAGACACAAAATCCAGAGAGAATGAAGGGGTCCTTGATCAACTATTTCACATTGATCCACTTTCAGTACTTTAGCCATGGATGTAAACAAGATAATGTTGGCTCATTTCAGGATTACTGAGGTTTTGTAGCCCCACCTTGAAAAGTTAAGTGGGATATATTTGTAGATTATTGATTACATACAAGCATAACAACATAACATCATTCTTGGGGTTTGTTATTCATTAATTTGGGTATTGAGTCAACAAAATTTTTAGGCTGTTACTTTGTGAAACAGCATGCCATCTCTGAGGTATTTCTGTTTTATCACACACATGGGTTACCTTAGCATAGGCATTAAGAGAGAAGCAAGTAACTGCTTTGGGAAATCTGAAGAGGTAGATTGTTTCCAGCGGAGGATGGAGAACATTTTTGTCTCAATTTAGGTCTCCATGGAGACCTAGAAGGGGGCCAGAATCACTGATGAGTAGGTCACAGTGTGACTATGGGGGTAAATGGAAGAGATCAGGGTGTGGGATGAGAACATCAGGTGTCGGAAAAGGGGTTCCAGGAGATAAAGCCTGGAGGAGAGCTGGACCAGCTGAATAGTTTATACTGTAGAGGGATTTAGACTTCAATAAGGTAATGGCAACCACCAGTTTTCCTTCCTACTCAAGGTTTTTCCTTTGGAAATTATTTTAGAGAGGACTTATAAAGATAATATACTTTTGACTAGCCAAAAAAAAAAAAAAAAGCTACATGTTTTTGTGGGTTTTAAAAAGTTTTAAATTTATTTTTTTAATGTGCACGTGTGTGTGTTTGTATATGTGTGTGTGTGTGTGTGTGTGTGTGTGTGTGTGTGTGTGCAGGGGCTCTTAGAGGCCAGAGATATCATACCTCCTTGGAGACAGAGTTATAGGTGATTGTGAGCCACTTGAGGATTTGGGGAATTGAACTTAAGTCCTTTGCAGTAGCAGTACCAGCTCTTAACCACATTTCCATTTCTACAGACCCCTTGTGTTTTTTTAAACATAATAATATTTTGTAGTATGCTTGTATTACACTCCTATGAGTGCATAACTTGTTTCTTAAGTAGTGAGACACATATCTTTTTAAAATTTTTATTTTGTTTTTTATTAATCAGAAATTCCAAAGATGGTCTTTTTTATTTATCTTTTCAATGAACTATCTTTTCGATTGTCATTTTATTAACCAAGTTTGCTATGGTTTGATCCATTTCAACGTCAGTGACCTTAAAGTTTTCCCAAAAGCCACAAATACACGCAATAAATTCAGCACAATTCAAAACAACAGATTAAGGGATAAATGCAACATCAAAAAAAAAAAAAAATCTTCAACACATCTTTTAAGCAGAATTCCCTCCTCAGGCTGACTCTGCCCACAATTTCCGGAGTCTACTCTTTCTTGTCTTTCTTGGCCAGTGGCTAAAGATAAAATCAAGGTTTTATCCCAAATTCCCACCTTTCCAACTCCCAGCTGTTTTTATGTCCTTTCCCACTCTCTAATGACCACATTGTACAGGTGTTCCACAGCATAGATGTTCATGACTCACACACCTCCTGGAGCTCTTGGTCTTCACTTCATTTCATTCTAAAGCATCTTTATGCTGCCATCAGAGCAGTCTTTCAAAACCATACATGAATATATTGCTCACATTCAGGATTCTGATTTTACTTAACATAGAACCTATACTCCTCTGCAAGATAGGATGGCCAAGTGCCTAAATGTCATCTTCCATGAGTCCTTTCCACGCTTACACTTAGATAATCCTACACGTTCTTGTGGTTTCCTCTTTTGGGGTTCCTTTCCCCACTCCATTCCTTATTCTGAGAACACTTTATCTTTCCCAGCTGGTTAAGACACCTTCAACCGTATACCTCAGCTTTCAATTCCACAGTAATTTCCAAAATCTACACAGTGTACGTTTGCTAGTCTGTTTATTAAATTTTACCTTTTTTGTGCCAGTGAGATGGCTCAGCTGGTAAAGGTGCTTGTCAGTAAAACTGATGACCTGAGCTGGAGCCACATGATGGAAGGAGAGACCTGACTTCCACAGCTGTTCTCTGACCTTCACACAAGCACCATGGCACAGTGAGAACAAACACACACACAGACACACACACAGACACATACACACAGGTAATATTTTTAAAGCTTTAAAAGCTTAAAAACATTATCCTCTTCTCTCATTACACAAAGGATTTGAGACAATATAAAGCAGATATACCAGGCAATGATATAAAATAAAGTGAAATAATTAATTCAAAGGGATAATTTAGGTAGAAATAAAAATAACACCAGGTGTGGTGATAGCTTTAAAAATGTTGAGTTCTGTACACACACACGATAAACACATACACTGAAATTTTTAATCTGGCTTCTTAGCTGCCAAGGCTCAAAGAAACTTGGCTGTGTATGATTTTCCATATGTTAAAAACGAAGCACCACTGTTAGTCCCTGAATGAGGGATGGTTTATTGCAATAAAGGAGTACTTATAAAGAGGACTGGTAATTTTAGAAGCTCCCTTGCTTGTGCTTGCAGTGACCCTTAAATATAACTCCATAATTACCATAACTTTTTTTTAACATTGATTTCCTAAGGGTATGGAACATATCCTCAGACTGCCTGATATTTCCTAGAGACTCATTGGATAGCCAGATGTTGATTATAATGTAGGTAAATGCTTTGCATAGAAGCATTTAGAAATATGTCTACATTTATGCACACAGAGAGAAGGTTGTAACCAAATGGGAGAGCATTATGATAATGATATTGGGAAAACCTTCAGTCTAGCACATATATTATGCTAAATACACTAACAATGTACTTTCTATGACTTCTGGCCAATCATGTAGATATTTCCCAACTCACAGCTTGGAACATTGGAAGGTTAAATAAGTTTTCCAAGGGGTTACAAGTAGACAGAGGCAGATCCTGGGAAAATCATAGGCCCTTGAGCCCAGCTCTCAACTCTTTGCTATTGGACTATGCTTTGGTGTGAAGCAGGCTAATTACATTGATTTATATATTTTCATTTTAATATTTTGTTGGCTAGTTTTGAGACAGGGTTTCCTTATGCAGCCTTAGTTGGCCTAAAACTCTGTATAAGTCGGGCTGGCTTTGAACTCATAGAGATCCACCTGTGTCTGCCTCCTGAGTGCTGGATTAAAGGCATATGCCACAAGTATGGACAAACTCATGAATATTTACCTACAACAAAACCACGGTAGTGCAGCTTTTCAGCTGAAGGCTTTGTCACTGTTTTCTAGTTCTAGGTGTGTTTTATTCCAGAGTCTTTTTGAAGGAAAAAGCAACGGCTATCTTGGAAATAGAATGCTATGCTATAAAATCTGTTTTCTGTAGGGAAGTATCAGGGTATATCACGACATGCGTCACTTCTTTCTTTTTTAAACTGGGGCATTTGACTGATTTTTCCTGTATATGTGGTAAGATACGATTTAGGTTTATTTACTATGTCTAAAAGACTTATAGCTGTTTTGTGAGAAGGCAACTTGGCTCTAGCCCAGTTACCATTTGATAACAAGGGGCTAGCTGCTCTTACCTGAAAGTTGCCAAAGCAGCTCCCTCCAGGGAGAGTCACGTAGCTCACAAAGGGAGGCCCGGAGGAGGGCATTGACTCATAGACCACCAGACCTTCACTGGAACACGTGGCTCTTTGCTGCTGCTTGCTTTCCCAAAATTCTTGCAACATTGACACAACATTCACTGCAAAAGATAAGAAATAGCATCAGTTGTAAGAGCAGACATACAGGGGTAGAAACCAAGTGTCTAGGGCTGGATTCTGTAACATGGCATCGGCCATTTAAACAGAACATACTTGTCACGCAGCTGCTTTCAACCGTGAGGACGCTTTATTTAAGCATATATAAGGAATGTTAAGATATATAACTTTAACACACATGTGTGTTTCCTTTGTAAATTGCATTTTTATTTAGGGTGTGTGTGAGAGAGAGAGAGACAGAGAGAGTGAGTCTGTGGGCACACACATGTGTTGGCACCTGTATAAAAAGGTCAGAGGACAGCAGCTTTGGGAAGCTGGCTCGCTCCTTTTGTTATGCGGTTCTCAGGAATCAAACTTAGGTTGCCAGGCTTGGTGCCATCTGACAGGCCTATGTGTACATTTCTTGATGAGTAAGACTCAAATGGTTTTAATACCCCAATTCTAACAAGGTTGCAGTATATCAAATTTATTTTATAAGTTATATTAATATCAAAATTTAAAATCTGACTATTCGTCTCTGACATTTTGCCTTGGTGGAATTTTTCCAGGCCTGTGATTAGCTATAGCCCATATACAGTTTCTCAGACTCAAACTTGAAAAGAGAAAGCCACACTGTGAAAAAAAAAAAAAAAGATATAAGCAATGTAATATTAATCTGCTTACTAGTCATATGACTTAAGAAGAAAAATTCAGAAAGAAGAAAACTATTTTATATTCTCTCTACCTCAATGTAAAGGAAAATAAAAAGGCAATTGTCAAATAAGCAAGAGGCTGGAATGAGCCATGAGTGAAAAACTAATAACATGGAGTCTTTTTGAAGAGAAGGTCTGTTAGGTGATTTTGGAAAACACAGGACTGGCTAGGGCCATGTGTTTTAGATTAAATGACCTGTGATAGCCTGCAGAGGTTCCAGATCAAATTAGGCTGGTTTGTTTATCCTGTACTGCAAATTAAATTGGGGAAATTAACAAGGATAATAGAATTGTGGAGTCAAAAGTGACCTTATGAGTCATGTTGGCTAAGCTTTGCCTGATGTAGGAATTCCTTGCCAGCCCTGCTGCCAGAACAGCTGTCAGTCTGGTTCGTACCTGCATTTGCCACACTCAGCACAGCTTCAATTGCTGATGTTTCTGTGGAAAAGTGAGCTGAAGTCTGCTTTCCTTTAAGGTTTATGCTAAGGGTCTACCTGCATTTCTAGAGAGCTCAGAGCACATTTGAAGGCAACAATTGATATTGTGGACATTTGTTCATCTCTGTGTGTGACCAGGACAAAGGGTTACCTTGAAGTATTGTATAGTCTTTATGGATGGAACTGTGGACATGGCCAAAGCTCATGCATTTAAATGCAACACTCCAATAATTTTGTTGGAAATTCTCTTTTTCCATGTGTGTGTTGGAGGAATAGGAGGTAGGTACAGCCCAATCAAGAAAAAAAGATGGTTTGGGAAGAAAGTGAACACAGAAGTAGCAAGGAGGTGGGGAAAAAAAAGATGAAATGCTGCTGACATAGGCTGAACACCTTGATCTGCTTTCACAGCCCAGGCGCCGCGTGTTACAGTAACTTATCTGAAACAGTCAATCCTCTTGTCCTTTATACCGTTTTGAACTGTTCTCTCTTGCTTGCATTTGAAAGTGTAGCAATGCAGGGAATGTGGATTAGCTCAGTTTTCCTCCAGCACTGAAGCAGTTTTGGATGTTTCTAAATGCTGAACATTGATTTCTTCCTGGAAGTCAGGAGTGTCACAAAGTTTGCTCTAACAGTAAATGCTCTACGAACCCACAGCTCTAAGCTGTTTCTGAGGCTACAAGGCTCTTACACCTTCTCCATAGGTCCCTGATAAGCTCATGGTGTGTAAGGAAACTTCTGGAGATTTCCATAGATTTGGATACTTTTGTATTTAAAAAAAAAAAAAAAACTTGTTTAGCTTCTTTAAATATGAGCTGCTCATTGTGAGTTCCTTCAAAAGCAGAGTGGAAATGGGGACATTTATTGTATTGTGAAAATCAAAGATGCAATATGAAATATATTAAATATTTTACTCTTATGAAAAAAAAAACTAGTTTAGTGTTTAAGTGTCCTGGAAATATTGAGAAAAGGTAAGGGTATCACAAAAAAATAGGTTAATACATATGAAAGAGATTAAATTGAGAATTGGTGAATATAGAATATAAATTTATGAGGGGCATAGGAGAAGAAAAGAGAGGGAGGGTGGGATTAGGAGGAAATGGAGAGGGGGCTACAGCTGGGATACAAAGTGAATAAAGTGTAATTAATAAAAATAAAATAAAAATTAAAAAAGAATATACATTTGTAATTTCATTTACAAATTTAAAATAGTTGAAAAAACTCAAAGTAGAAATTAGATATTTTCATATGTTTAAACGTTTCTGGCCCACATCTTTTTCTTCCTTCGAGTTCAGAGAAGACAAAGATTTACAAAGAATCCAGCTTATGTCTCTACGTGCATTTGACCCTTGAATTCATCAAAAGATGTTTTAAAGTCTGCAGCCTGAAGCATAAAACATAAACCAGTAGCCTTTTGGTGTACCAGCCCACAAAGACTATTATCTTCCCAGTCTAAGCTCATCTTTGAATGAGATTATTCTTCTGATTAAAGTTGGAAACTGAGGACTCATGACCCTCTAGGTAAGATGCACACAAGAATTTTGGCCCACATAAACAAATTATTTGCGATAAAGAGTTTGAAAGTATACATTTAGATTCCTGCGTGAATAAAACTGAACAGCATTTGACTTTTCCGTTATGGAACCACAAAGATCCCTTTGATTGTACCGCAGATGTCATCACCCTTAAAAAGGCAACATCTGTGCACGCGCACAGACAATGCACGTTTTTTGTTTTCTCTATCTCCTCTTGCGCCTGGAAACCAGGAGGTGTGGAGTGCAGGAGAAGGAAGGCAAGCCTTGCTGTCGGCAATTCTAAAGGCCAGTTATATCAGAGGGTGTTCTATTTATAAAATACATGCTTCTTTTTCTGTTAGGGAGCATCAGCAAGGTTTTTAGACCATTTCAAGGAAACTAAGAGAAGATATAAGGATTCATTGCATAGTTTAGACTCTAGATGCCTCAGGCCCAAATCCTGTCCTCCCATGATAAAAGAAACTTGGGCTACCGAGCGGGCAATGCTCACCTCTGCATCTGCGTGCCCAGCTCTCTCATAATTCGCGCTCTTTCTCCTGGGTATTGTTTCCTTAGTCACACTCTTGCCTATTTTTGCTTACTGCTTCTTGGCAGCCATAAATATGTTTGAGGAAATGAATAATAAGATAATATATCAATTAAATATATTACTCAACCTTGGAATTATTTGCGGTTACTGGTTATTGAATCTTTTCATGTCATAGTCAAGCTGTTAGTAAGAATGTTCTGTGTTCACTGTCTCCGCTTCCTTAATGTTCCTTTTGATTTTTACTCATGATATCCTAGCTTCCTTCTGCACTATTCCAGTGAAATACTTCAACAAATATTGCCAATTCATGATTTTCTTCAGGCCTCCTTGATTTGACTTCTTAGCTGACAGTACATATTTCTGTATCTCCTCTCGTGGCTGATGGTAGACAGTACACACAGTGTGAGCTATGCATGTTGTATGTTCAGAACCAAAGTTGCGGTGAAGTCATGTGCTACAGCATAAACAAGAGGTGGCCTAAGCACCTGGGATTCAGTACGCATTTGATTTTGAATTCATTTTTGGTCATTGCATATTCAGAAACACTTTGTTTATGCCAATGTTTTTTTCTCCCCCACCTTCAGATGACTTGACTTGGAGTCACCACAGCTGTCTGAGGAGCTGTTGTCTATGACACCTTATTTGAAGGTATGCATTTTTTCTCTCTAAGTTTAGTAAGGTTATTTTTATAGTCTCTACTTTCAGTGGATACTAGAGCATAACAGTTTTATCAAGAGCCAACACAAGGGACACGCTAGTGACCTTTGGCTGGGTACCTAGAGGAAGCACAAGGTTTCAATTTGCCTGATGCAGGAATCAAAAGAGAAGCACTTATGCTTTTGTCAAGGTAACTGATGCTAAGTGATGCAGTACCCACGGAGAAGTATGGCGCCTACTGAGGCAGCGTTGTAAAAAGAAAAGGGAGGAAAAACTATCAGGTGACCCTAGAACTATATGAAACCTACTCTGTTTCATAACTTCTATCATCTTAGAGAGCATCTAAGAATAAAGGAAGCGAGTTACCTCTAATTTATGTTGTTTGCCAAACTGTTTAATCCATCCCTGTGCCTTGAATTGCTTCCTTGGATGCAGTGATAAATCTCTTCAACAGTTTTAATACCTTGTATAGCAATAAGACAATTTGCTACATGGTTTATAGGTATTACTGTGGCTAATATAATCCCTTTCTAATGCATTCTAAAATTTGACCATAGCTGTGTTTTTGGAGTAGCAATTAGACTCCCTAGAAGCTCTTCTACATGGAAGGTTTTCATTTTCTCCTTCCTCAGGTTTCCATTTTTATTATGAAGTCCAGTGTTGAACAGTGTCAAACACCTTGGCTATCTAACCTCCCTGGTTTCAGCAAGAGCATTCTCTCTTTTTTTTTTTGTCCTTGAACTCATGAGACTTATTTTTTAATTCGTGCCTTAATTCAAGTTCTCCCTTCTACCTTGAATGCTTCTGCCTCGCTTGCATCTTAGTTCTTCCTGCACTTCTGATGAAACACTACCTTCTCCATCACTCCTTAGTCATTGAGTGTAGCCCATATGTATCTCCTTTCCTGAGCTCTTATTCTATTAGTGGACCTGGGTCTTAGCACTTAATTTTCTATAAACCATGCTCATAAAATGGATATGGTGCTCCTGGCTAAATTTATCAAGTCGGACTTGGCTGGACTTTCTTCTGGCTAGAAGAATGGAATGTCTTGTGGTAACAATTTATTTAATAATCTATAGATTTTTATGATTTAAATCACAGAAGGCTATAGGATCCAGGAAGGGATGGATTCTAGTT